AAAAAAAAAAAAAAAAAAACGAAAGAAAAAAACTTCAGTGGTTTGACTACCTGTCATACTTTTGAAATTTGGAGACGAAAAGTAGCATGGTTCTGATTTTATTCAATTAAAGCTTATCATTTTGAAACTTACAGACACTGAACTAGCCTCCATAGTAAGTTTTTTGATCATCTCCTTCTTCATTCTTAAAGACAACAACAGTATATTTTAGTGTCTTATTTTCTGTTTCTCATAGTCTAATAATATCTTTTTGTAAAGTGATTCCAACTGAGCTGTCAGTTTAGACAGCTGATGACGGAGATTTTATTGTTATCATCATATGGCTGTGAGAAAATTTTGTAAATGTTACAGTATTTTAGGTCTATTAGAATACTAAGAAATACCAAACGAAAAATCATCCTATATATTATTGAAAAGAAAAACCATACAAAGTACCTCATCAATATATTTCAGAGATTTGCTCTTAACGTAAGTTGTAATGTAAGCCAGATGACTCCACTCTTTGAGTAATCTAACTTTTGCTACCTGTTATACACCATCTTCGATTATTCGTTGATCGTCCTTATTGGAATTCTCCACATGCAACAAAACTTACGTCGCTATAGTTACTTCGAAGTATATGTTCCAACTCACAAGCATGTTCTCTGTCACGTGTCTCAGCTACTACTTTAACCTTAAAAAAATAAAACAGAAAATGCTTGTTTAAAAGTTCTTTATTGAATAACGAACTGACACTTATTTTCAGTTAATGTGATTAGGCTTCTGTTTAATAATTTCTGTTGGTAAATTGAGTAGGCCAAGAGTTGGCAGTGTCATAAACAAAGGAAAAACAAACAAACAAACAATGCAAAATAATTACACTAAGTACTATTAAAAAAATAACTCACCTGACCATCTCCACGCTTTTGTAATTTTATTCACAAGTTTTTAGCTCTGATACTCGATCATTGGAAGACGAGCTACTATATATACAGTTTATCTCATCGTAAAAGAGATTTAAAAACAGGACACAAAAGAAAAATACAAATAACCGTGGTTTATGAAAGATTACGGAGATACTTATAATGTTTGTTCCTTCTTTTAAGTCCAAACAGGTTTAAAGTAAAAATGCTAAAATATGAAGTTTCGCTCAGGGTTTAAAAAAGGATCCACAAACGATATCGTAAAACAAGATTAAGAGTAGGAAAGAGAGAAAGGGTATCGATGATTTGAGAAATATTTTGGGTTGTTTAGTATTTATTCTTCCTCTTGATCAAACATATAATTATATACATATAAAAAAATTAATATATCGGGGATCTATATTGGTGTAAAACTGAATTTTTACGAATATTGCCTGAAAACAAAAGCAGAAGGAGAAAGAGAGAGAAAGGGTATCGGTGATTTGAGAAATATTTTGGGTTGTTTAGTATTTATTCTTCCTCTTGATCAAACATATAATTATACATATACAAAATTTAATATATCAGGGATCTATATTGGTGTAAAACTGAATTTTTACGAATATTGCCTGAAAACAAAAGTAGAAGGAGAAAGAGAGAGAGAAAATAAATATAAAAGTAGACGAGGAAAGAACCCGGAAAGTTGTATGTGAACCTTTTAAACCCTATTAAGGTTGTACATACACACACACACACATATATATAAAGGATAACTTACAAATGTCCTTTGTTGGTTTCATAATGGTTTCGGAAACAGTGTTGGAAAACAAGATTACATTGAAGTAATGCTTGTGCTTAAATACAAGCGTCATATAGTGGTGGAACAATGGAGACATGTAACAGAATATATGTCGCCATTATTTTCATCATGTTACTTTCATTATTTATAGTGGTTAATTTTATAATCACATTCACATGCCTCTATGACAAGATACTTGTAACCACCCGTTTTGTCATGTTACTTTCATTATTTATAGTGGTTAATTTTATAATCACATTCACATGCCTCTATGACAAGATACTTGTAACCATCCTTTTTGTCATGTTACTTTCATTATTTATAGTGGTTAATTTCATAATCGCATTCACATGCCTCTATGACAAGATACTTGTAACCATCCTTTTTTCATGGTATTCTCATTATTTGTTGTGGCTATCTTTTTTAAAAAGATATATTGTGAGAATTATATGCAGATTCAAAGGCCTAGGAATAAATGTGTTCCTAAGCCATAGTAAATTTTACCTCTTTCCCGGAGTAAGACAAAATAATCTTGCCATCCTTTTCTGTAAATTTCGTGTTCATTTTCTAGGTTAATTGCATCGATTTGTTGTAAACATTCGAAGCAGCTAAACATGGTTGAACAGTGATAGGTAATGACTATTTAAAAAATACGTTAGTGATGCATGAACGGATTTGTCATGAGAAAGGAGAAATAGAAAATATTATGACTGATTTTTGGAACAGCATAACAAAAGAAACACTCCTTCCTTTGGAACATCAGAACAAAAGAAACACTCCTTCCTTTGGAACATCAGAACAATAGTTTTAAGACTTTAGTACTGAGCTTGGTAACAAATAAGAATGCTAGTCATATCACCAGACTAGCTCAAGAGTGTAGCTGCTATAGACTACCTGCCACTCCTCTAGTCTGTATATGTTCAAAATTAGGGAAGGCTATGAGCAGATAGCCCTTGTATAGCTTACATTTTGAGCTTTATTGATTGTTCCTATTTACGATTCTGTCCTATAGTTCTAACTGTTTTAAGTGTTATATACTGACAGCCAGCTAAAAATAAATAATGTCTATATTTTGACATATTTCATGCCCTCACGCTCACACTAATTCATTTGTTCTTTCCTTTTTTCTGATTTAAAGTAGCCGTGTTTTTCTATTAATTTTTTATACACTAAACTACTTTTTGCTATTAAACTATAAGCTTTTGGTTTTATAACCAGAGCCTTGTACAGGCTTGCCAATAGACATTTCGATTTGTTCAATCATCTTGGCCATTATGGAAACTTTAGTTCGGCTGCCTGATAAAATGGTCTTTGTCATGCTCTTTGTTTAAGAATATTCTGTTTGCCATCTCGTAACAATCAGAGGTCACTTTAAAGGAAGGAGTGTTTCTTTTGTTCTGATGTTCCAAAGGAAGGAGTGTTTCTTTTGTTCTGATGTTCCAAAGGAAGGAGTGTTTCAGTAAAAAGACTGATTTCGTTTTCTTCTTTTTACATGACATGCTCTGGCTTGGGTTAGTCACTGAAGTATTATAAGTCATTAGGCTACAAATATCAGGTTTATTAGAAGCTGCATCCTAAAATTTTCTTATCATTCTGTTTGTTATAACAAAAGAAAAACAAGTTTTATACTTACTTCAACCGAAAAAATGTCTCCGGTCAGCCAAGCCCTCTCATGCATGATATCCTTGATGCTAGAAAAATTACGAGGTTCGCTGGCGTTTAATTGTATTGAAATTATTAACACAATATGGATATAATTCTAAATTAAGCAAAGAAGTACAATTTTGTTTTCATAATTGTGAGTAATTAATACTATTAAGAGTATTATTTTTTCACAAATTGTAGATTTATGCGGTATATTGCTGAAAACATGACAGTTCATATTTAACTCCATTACATGTTCATGCGATGACATAGACACTACATGTAAAAATTAATTTATTATTTTCCAACTTTCTTTATTTACATATTTAAGTGTTGAACAATGATCAGTTTCAGGAGAAACAGGTTAATATCTAACTTAAACCTTTTTTGGAGGTGCATTTGAGTTTGTTTTTTTTTGTTTGAATTAGGATTGAGAAACAAAAAATAAATATCATATTGAAATTTAACATAATTCTGAAACCATATATGACAAAATGATACATTAAAAGACAACGTTGTATTAGCAACTAGAAAGTCAAGTCATTTCTGACAATTTTCGGTCATTCATATTTCTCTTAAATTAGAAATGCCTGGTATACTTTATTGGCCATTGCGACGGCATCCTTTGATATGGGAAACTCTATGAGCTAGTTTCTGTTTTTATAGAACGTTTGTTGTTAAAGCAATTACATCTTGATTTTAATGTGACAAAAATGGCCGAGGTTGATTCCGTTTGGGTTCATGAACAATTTTGTCATCGTTAAGTGAACGTAAGACTTAAATTAGTTAAAGTATTAAATATTCTGTATATTCTCAACAAGTTTAATCTTTTGTTGTATTTTAATACGACTAAAAAAACTTGGGATCGGTTGATTGGAAAAATGTATTTGCTAATCATGACAGAATGTTTTTATTAATCATCAGTTTATTGGTGGATTTGTTTTCTACTTATATCTTATAGGTAAGAAATTACTAAAATTATCAACCCTATTAATATAACCAATAAATATATAAGAATTGTGTTTTTTTTTTAAGCAAAGCCACATCAGGCTATCTGCTGTGCCCACCGAGGGGAACCGAACCCTTGATTTTAGCGTTGTAAGTCCGTAGACTTATCGTTGTCCCAGCGGGGGAACTATATAAGAACAAAATGCACAAACTTTTTTATTTTCATGTAGTATTTTAATATCTAAATAGATATTTCACTGAAATCGCTCTATGGTATTAGTAGGTAATTAAGTTGCACCAGTATTTAACAAAAGTTAAACTGGAAATACGGAATTTGTAAATATTCGGTTTCATGTTAAATCAGGAAGCACTGCGGATAATGAAGGTGTAATGCTAAATGTCTTTTAACAGAAACTCTGAAAAGAGAAAACTGTAAGCTTTCGTTATCAATTTCATAGAAAAATCTTAAATAAAAGTAAAACACAAGTTTTAAAAAGCCTAAAGGGGTGTTAAAATTCACGTTTCGTGATATTTAAAGTAATGTGAAGCTTAGATTTTAAGAAGTCCCAAGTGTTGTAAAGTTCAGATTCCAAGATGTTCCAAGCAATAATGTTAAAATCTCAAGCAGTGAAACTGAGTGATCACATATTATCTTAGAACAGTTCGCATAAATAATTTTGATGAAATTAAATTTTCATTACTAACTTTGCAACAGTAGTTACTGTTCAGCAATTAATGACTTCTTAATTAATATAATTATTTATATTGTCTATGCGGTGTACATACTTTATATCTGTGGGTAGTTAACCCACACAATAGGATTTAATCACCTCAATTCGTCATCAATAATACGTTTAAAAAGAATGTTTCTTTATTCCAAAACAGGACTTTCTGTTTTCTTTCTTTCTTTCAATACATCAATTTATAAATGACATATAATACTTGATAATTGTCTTCTGCGTACATTATAATGGTTACTGAGTGAATAACAAAAAATAATACGCGTATTTATTGTTTTAAAATATTTCAAGTTAGAGATAAGTATTCAGCTATGTAGATATGACTTTTCCTAGTGTATATATTTTCTGCAAACATTTGAAAAGTTTATTTCCAAGGGGTAGACCTTGGGATGGAAGGGCTCGACCCCCCTCAAGCCCTACCATTTGTTGCATGCAGGACTGAAGTAAAGAATCTCTTTAACATATTGGCGAAAGGGAAGGAACATTAGAAGTTTGGCTTACCTTTTCGCAGGTTATCCACAGAGGTTTTATACAATACAAGTTATTTTTAAATATATAAATTCGGACATTGGATTAAATATTTTAGAATATTACCTTACTCCTATCCTCGAGATCAGTCGAGTAAGTTCAAAGATTCCACCTGGCCGGTCGCTCAAAGTTACCGTAAACTTGATTAAACGACCGTCAACCGCTAGACCTCTTTCCAAGCAACGCCCAAGAACCGTTGTATCGATGTTACCTCCACATAAGGGCACCACAACACTTGAAAATGTATAAAAATATAGTCAGATTTAACTCTACCGCAAAGTATTTAGAAACAAATAATTCAAAGTCACAATATTATCAAGTATTGAAAAGCACACACACACACACAGGAATAAGTAATTACATGGGTAACATTTATCATACAGTTCGACAGACTAAGAATACTTCTATATCAAATACTGAAATACATTATTTACATTTAAACATTAACATAATTAATAATTGTTGTAATATTAATATTTATGACAAAAGAAATTATTTTATATTTCAAATTTTTGGATTTACCTCTCCAAACAGTAAATGTACCAACAAACGCCATACAGAGCATTATACACTCACAGCTTTTTAGGTATTGTAGAATTTGTAGTAATGTACAGTTCTTAATATTTAATGTTAATACATTATACACTCACGGCTTTTTAGGTATTGTGGAATTTGTAGTAATGTACAGTTCATAATATCTAATATTAATACATTATACCCTCACAGCTTCTTAGGTATTGTAGAATTTGTAGTAATGTACGGTTCATAATAGCTAATATTAATACATTATACCCTCACAGCTTCTTAGGTATTGTATAATTTGTAGTAATGTATGGTTCATAATATCTAATATTAATACATTATACCCTCACAGCTTCTTGGGTATTGTTGAATTTGTAGTGATGTACGGTTCTTAATATCTAATATTAATACATTATACCCTCACAGCTTTTTACGTATTGTAGAATTTGTAGTAATGTACAGTTCTTAATATCTAATATTAATATATTGGGTCATAAATTGTTTTTTAATGAGTTTGAGTATAAAACTATACATCTTTTTTGCTTATTTTAAAAGTCCAGGATTAATAACAATAAGCAAACTTCTAACAGAGAGATGTAACAATAATCGGGCATTGGTGGGTCACCTTGCCAAATAAATTTAGTCTGTAGGATTATAAGGAAATTTCTAAAGTAAACTTTATGACCTGAGAATGGAGGGAAAGTGACATCATGGCTGAACTTTAAACAGATGCCCCTGGTGGGCAGAGTACTGGTAACTCACTGTGTAGATCTGTACTTAACAATAAACAAACCAGCTGAAGTTGGCATTTAAAGAGCCACATTTTATGCTTATTTATTTGGTTATATTACATAATATTCTAGCATATAATTTTTAACATGGATACAAGTAATTATGCAATCAAAGCCAAGCACAAAGAGGGGAAGAATAGTTATGAAAGAGTGTTGTGTTACTTAAACCGTATTTTAAAATGTACATGTATCACACCTGTGATGAGGATGTAAGATTTTATATTGAAATTTTATATGACGACCAACTAACTTCGTAAATTTATTAAACTATTTCGCTAAATGTTTGGTCTAATCACTGACTGAGGGTGTGAAATAACACTTTCCAATGAAGGATGTGAATTTGCACTTTTTTGGGGGGTGTAGCTTCTGTATCAATACTTCATCCTTGAAATCAAAATTTTTATACTGTACAAGGAGGAAATGGTGAATTTAAAAAGCATCCATGATGAAACAGTAGTACACTAGTCAACTTCATTACAAACATATCTATTACTATTTTTGACATTAATCTTAATACTACATGGAACGAAAAGAGGTTTTAACTTACGTTTTACCAATCAGTTCCGGTAACTGGCCTGTAATAAGGGCTGCCAACCCACAAGCTCCAGCGCCCTCAACTACTGCCTTATCCATTTCAATTAGTCTTAAAATAGATAGAGCAATAAAAGACTCTCTGTAAATAAAATAAAATTGTATTCTTATTTCAATCAGGTGTTTAAGTTCTTGAATCAAATGAACATTTATATTAAACTTACTTATAATTATTCTATCTAGCTATTCATAAAGCCACCCATCCATTACTTTATTTAGGGAAGAAAAAAGGTACTGGAACCCCGTTGGTAGGTTAAGGTATCTTGAATTTTGGAAGAGGACAATTTAAGCGTTATCACTGGGGGGTGGGGCCTGGAGTGAAATAATGTAGTTTATTACGCCAATGACATATTAATTCTCAATGTAACCAAGACAGTCTTACAATTATTACGTTTTCATCTTTTTATGAAAACAAATCAGTTTCCGAATTTTAAATCCGGAGAGATTCAGTAGAAATTACGCACTGATCCATCTATCTATTTATCTAGTGTGATATCGTATTTACTATAAAATATTTTTTATATAGAATCATAATGTAAATTAAAGTTTGAAACGACTGTTTCATCTGTTGATTTGAAGTTTAAGTGGTAGCGACTGAGTTTTAGTCGAAGTTATTGGCAAGATGCCAGACAATCTTATTTTCTCTTCTATTAAAGAAATAATATCAAACTAAGATCAAAGTAACAATGATATTGTGATATCCACAAACACCATGAGATGTTTATTACTTTTATATGAATGTATTAGTAAATTGTTGAATATATACATGTGGGTTGTCTAAAGTTACAATAAAGTACGTAGGCGACATAGGGATATGTTATTTCATTTTTGTTGCTACAAATATCCCCCAGGTGGTCAGCACTAAGTTTACAGATTCACAGCAATATACTTCGGGGTTCGATTACACGTGGTAGATGTAGCAGATAGCTCAATGTGGCTTTGATCTAAAACATACAAACAAACATACAATACTACAAATAACTTACTTAACAACCATTACTTTGTCCACCAAAGATGCAGCTGTATGAAAAGCATTAACACCAATCTTAGGAACAGCCAGACCTGTGAAATATAACAAAACTTAATTGTTTTTGACTGTTACATACACATACTTATATATATACATACATACACATATATACGTAAATTATTTTTGCTTCTAATTAAATTTCTTTTATGTGCCAAAAATGTTATATAATTGCTCCTCTCTCCTAAAAAGTAGAATTCATAAAATTCATTCTGATTACTTTCGATTTTTTGTTTTCAATAATTTAAACTATCAGCATGAGAATAACGTTAGGATAGCCATAAGAACTCGACACTACAATGACGGATATATAGTGAGTTTACGCTATTTTATGTTTTGTGCCGGTGGTTCTGGAGCCCATATTTTTTCTGTGAGTGAACAACGTATATCCTCACCATGCTATGACGAACTTACTTTAAAAGTGGACATTACAACCTAAAATACATTAATAAATACAATATTTGTCTCTTTACTTATACTTCTCACTCTTTTACTGCAAACTTGAATAACCAGAGTTATGCCATTCGAAACACTTACCATCGGCCAGAGTGGACTGAGCCTTCACAGTCACAGGATGCTTCGCGTTCATGGCTGCTGAGAAACTAGAACATCGCTCTGACTCCACGCCCTGAACATTCAAAGATGAAACCACAGAAAAACAGCGATTTGTACTTTACTATTATAAGTTCAAGAAACTTCAGATATATAAATTGGAAGAAATCAAGTAAACGCATTAATATGTTAACTGTGATACTTAAATATCTTTGTGTAACAATGAATCTTCGCCAGAGAAGTTAACTAATAATTGACTGATTTATTACAGTACATTTTCAAATGTAAAAGATAACAGTATATAGAAAATTATGAATGAATTCAAACTAACATAGTAAACCAATTTATGAATATATTTTTTGAAGAAATTCATTTATATTGATTAATTAATTATTCACTTTTTTTTCTATGCTTATGGTGCCTTTATTGAATGGAATCATAAAAACACAAGAATTATAACACTCCTATTTTTACCACCTTTATTTATTCAGAATGCTTGAGGTAATCTTTATAAATGTCCCGATTTATCCACTTCCATATCACAATGTCCTAACGACTGTTGACGGCTTCAGCCTTTTCTTTCTACAGGCATAAACTATAGTCCCAGATACTTAGCATCTTTACTTTTATAGTCTATATGTTCAGATATTCAGTTTGTAATTAAGTATGAAATTAGTCAGTTGCAATTTCGCATAATATATATATCGAATACACTAGTAAAATATTTTTTCGTTTAAAATTGAATAATGTTTTTTGGTAATCTCACAAAAACATTGGAATTTTCAATATCTTCTTTGTTTGTTTGTCGTTAAGAGCAAAGGTACTACACAATAGACTATCTACGCCATGCTCACTGGTAGTATCGAAACCTGATTTTTAGCATTAGAAGCCCACACTTAGAGATTGTCGGACATACAAGACTGTTTAGTTTAAGTTATTATTTAGTTCACTTAAATAATTTAATATTTATAATTATTTAGTTTTCGTAACAAGAGTATTAAAAATGATTATTTTAAAGGCGATAGTTATGACAAATTTTTGTTACGTAACTCGGTAAGAGTTGTACGTTGTGTTTGTAGTTCAATTGCTGTTGTATCGTTGACGCCATCCTTCTCGAAACCTCTAAGTCTTTCTTGCTTTGTGAGTATTGTTACATCATAGCGTCTCCTAGTTTATAAAAAGTTCTAGGCCTCAGTTGGAAAACTTATAAATATAGGCGACCAAGTGAGAGGAAGTCAAGTTAAGCTCAGTCAAGAAAAAAAGTTAGTTAGTGGAAGAAAACGTGGAGTTAGCCGGCGTGTGAGTGATTAGCCTTAAAAGGGCGATTTCTATAGTGTGTTTCACACCTGTATTGTAACAACAGAGATAGTAAAAATAATTTATCTTGTCAATTGAATTCTAAAGTAACTGAACCAGCCTGTGTGGACTTTTGACGAAAAAAAGAAACAATTATTTAAAGCTCAGGATACGACTGTGGTAACTAACAAAAGAAGTGAGTTAAGTCAGAAAAAGTTAAGTCAGTGAAAGTGAAGTTAGACTGCAGGATTATTAATTTAGTCGTAATGGGCGATATTTTAAAGTTAATTTTACAGTTTAATAGAGATAAGGAGAATAATTTGTCTTGTCAAAGGGTGTTCTAAAGTAACTGAGCCCGTCTGTGTCGACCTCGACGAAAATGAGACAATTATTTAAAGTTCTGGATACAACTGTGGTAACGTAATGAATTTATTGCAGATTGTATAGTAAGAAACATAGCAGAGAAAAATAATTCGTCTTGTCATTTGGATTCTAAAGTAATTGAATCAGCATGTGTGGACTTCTGACAAGAAAAGAGAATTATTTAGAGTTTTAGATACAAGTGTGATATCATATAGTGTAAAGAATTTTGTACCTACGTTTGACTTGTTTTGAATATATTATTTTAAAACAAGTGGATTGTTTACTGTCTGTTTATTGTTCGAATTTATTGCCAGCAAGTCACAAACACCTACTGTAAAAGATTCCCAGCCAACTCATATTTAAAACTCTGACAGATATGATCCACATAAGGAAAAGAGGAGCAATCACTCACTACATCAAGAGAAGTTTTATTGATAGCTAACAACGTGCAATTATTGTCGATAGGAAGAGCACTTTCAGTTTAGGAGAATTGAGCTTTATAAACTAGCTACCTGAATCATTGGTCCTCTATTTTAACTGTAAAAATTGGAAACTGACATTGTATTTACTTAAAGTTCAAAAGGAGAATGATGCAAATGACATACATACATTTATCTAACTCTAAAATTAGGTCTGTTTTAGTCATTACAATATGGCAAATGATAAAAATTACTGAAATGTCTTGTAATGATTATTTAGTATTAGAGCTATCGAACAATGCAACTTTTGTGCTCATCAATTCACCTCTTGCAGAACAATCTTCATTTGACAATGAATTATTTCCACCGTTTGAGCCAAGATTTTGGCGAAAGTCGATTGTTTTTCGTAAAGTAATTTACCTATAGAAAACCTGTTTTCAGTGCTTAAAAGGTCAATACACACAGAGAGAATGCCGAAGAGTCATGTTTAACCTAATCTCACTTGCAAGCATTGGAATCAAATATAAACGTTATACGTGCAGTCATAACTGGTTTCCTGTTGAATTTAAAGCAATTTGAAAAATATATAGTCCAAAGTCATTAGAATCCATCCAAAAGAGGATAAGAAAACTACAAAACAGGAAGGGATAATGGGAATCAATGCTTTATTCTTCTCCTTGTAACCACTGTTATTGTCTTAGATCGTTCAGTGAGTGGCATCTTAGATAATATGGTTGATCATACCTCAACTAACGAAAGTAATAAAAAATAGTTAAATAAAGTCCTAGATGCCATAAACATGTTATAAACATTACCACAGTGCAAATCACAGACCAAATGGAATGGCTCCGATAAAAAGTAGCCTTGCTTTTTGTCAGCTCCAAACAACATTTTGGGAGTTTCACTGCGTTTATATTATAAACTGGTATAACTGATTTTCGCGTGTTTAAAGTTGCAACCAAAACCTTGCAATTTCTTTTTGATCGAACCACGATTTAAGGGATAAAACAATTATAATGAAAAACAAAATATGTTAAATTGTTACGAGTTAGATAAAATAAATTACATTTTTTTATAATGCACTTCAGTGACTTGATCAACTGGAAAAATCTGACTTGGAACTAATTCAAGTCCGATAGGGCAGGGATCGAATTTTAATAGATTCATGACGTATTTGATACTATTACTGATTTGGCCCTCTACCAGTTTTTAGTGCAATCATCGCCAGTTTCTATACATTCAGTGAAGTATAGTGGTCCGATTTCGTCTGAGTAGTTTGGTTTGTAAGTAGAAATTACATCAAAAATTTGCTCTCCCAAATCTTTAAGGGTCCAACTCCAAAGTACGTAGATATTTACCAGACTATAATTTTTTCACAATTAAATGTTTGAGTTATGCTTTTAAAAACTGCTGAGAGTTTTTCTTTGACTGACTTATTCTATTAAATTTATCAGGGCCTAGATGTTGCGTCCTCGCACTACATTTGTTTTCTTTCCCTGTTGGGGATTACTTTCTAAGTATTTATGTAACATATACTTGAAGCTTAGCAAATGTAAACTTTTTTTTTATAATTTGTAATAAAAATGGAATGCTTCACAAATTAAGATAAACATGCTGTGAGCCATTGTGCTTTCGTGTCATAAACCAGGATTGATATATGACAGAGTTCCGGCACAGTAATTAGGAAAGATACACATAAACTTACAATTATTTTAACTGAGGGCTTCTGATTCTTAATGGCCAGAGCCAGCCCAGCAATCAGGCCTCCGCCGCCTACTGGAACGACAACAGCGTCAACATCTGGAACCTGGTCAATAATCTCTAGCCCCATTGTTCCCTGTCCCGCTATTACGTGAGGATGGTCATAGCTAGAGTAGATAAAATATTGAGTAAATGTTTTCTGATTATATGAAAAAAAGATCTTAGGTTTATTTTGATACTGTAAAACTAATATATTTGTGCAATCTGGCTTCTAATATATCTTTTGTTTAAGTTTGTTTGTTTGAAGTTAAGCACAAAGCTACACAATGGGCTGTTTGTTCTCTGCCCACCACGGGTATCG